TGAGTTCCTATTTCCATGAAGAGCACTTATTAGGCACTTGATCATATATTTTTTGGTCCTCTATTTCACTTTGGTTAACATCAAAACAGGCAGTTCGAATGTGGCGCGCAATGTGATGACTGCTGCCGCCAAGAATCTGACCCCTGTTGCATTAGAATTAGGCGGTAAATGCCCGGCGGTTGTTGACTATCTTTCGAGTTCTTGGGATCAAAAGGTAAATGCTATGTTATTGTATTTTGGAAAAAAATTGGATATTTAGTCCCCTACAACTGACACCTAATTAATTGGAAATAGTCCGGTGATCGTGTTGACTTTTACAAAACATCTTGTAACTGCAGAAAAAGCTTGACTTTTGGTCATTCCATTGGCAAAAGGCAGTCCCTGTGACCGGTTGCTTGCTGACGTGGATAATATTTTTCATTTTTTTTTGTGCACGTGGCAGCCGACTAACATATCCAACTCAGCAGCCGGTCAACGGCTATTGTCGGTGGAAGGACCAATAGTCAGACTTTTTTTGCAGTTACAGGGTGTTTTGTAAAATCACCGTAACCACCATACTATTTCTTAATTTGGTGTCAGTTACGTTACTAAATATCCAATTTTCCTTGTATTTTGCTTTTTCTTCGTGGCTGTCGGCAAACACTTGATATAATGTAATTGTCATTTGATCCTTTGGATTATTCTGTGTATATAACAACGAATAAATCGAAAAAACAGAAGGTGCGCCCGTCCTTTGGATAGTATTCTTGCAGGCTGCAGCCAATTGACTAAGTAGTACCCTCTTTAAAGTTTTACTAGCTTGCAGTTTATGTCAAACACTACCAAGAACCAACATTAGGTGTTCATCATGTTTTTGTGCTTTTACTGTAATAAATTGTCCCCTCTATGAAGCATTATTATCTTTTCCCTTTCTTTCCCTTTTGTTGCAACTACTCCGAGTACGCTTCTTATTCATCTAGACCGTTTATTGAAACGACAATGGCATGTCCTAGTGTTGAGACATCGTTTTTCTTTTCCTTTTTCAGATTGCATTGCGACGTATGGTTTCAGCAAAGTTTGGGACTTGTGCTGGCCAAGCATGCATAGCCATTGACTATATTCTTGTCGAGAAGGATTTCGCATCCACTTTGGTACATTGACATATGAGCCATGCTTTATATATGCAAGTATTGTGACCGCCAAATTCGTGTTTTTCATCCGAACTTCATTCTTGAACAGGTAGAACTACTAAAGGCGTCCATTCGGAGTATGTTTGGGGAAAATCCAAGAGAATCAAATACCATTGCTAGAATAATCAACAAAAGTCACTTTTCTCGTTTAAGGAACCTCTTAAGTGAACCTGAGGTCGAGGCTACTGTAGTCCATGGCGGTTCACTAGATGAAGATAGCCTGTAAGTAAAAAAAATCTGCAGTTTTCTTTCAATTACTTTGTTGTCAACTCAATTTCTAGCTAATATAACGAACACTTTATTTTGCAGCTTCATAGAGCCAACTTTACTAGTGGATCCACCGGTTAAGTCTAGGATCATGACCGAAGAAATCTTTGGTCCATTACTTCCTATCATCACGGTAAACATCTAATTTTCATAAATCATGTTGATTTTGTAGATCAATGCACCTTATCATGTTCCTCTGAGAATACCATTATCTTTTTTTTTTTCCCTACAGTTGGAGAAAATTGAAGATAGCATTGAGTTCATCAGTTCAAGGCCTAGGCCGCTTGCTATTTATGCATTTACAAAGAATGAAGGATTCAAGAAAAAGTTGTCATCTGGCACGACTTCATCCAGTATCGTTTTTAACGATGCTATCATCCAAGTAAGTCAATGGCAAAGCCAGTTCAGTACCTAACTTGTATCATGTATTTTATGATCGTCCCATGTCTAATATGGCTTCATGTTACTACAACACAGTACATTATATTCTATCATCTTAATATTTATTTTATTTTGTATCGTGCAGTATGTAGCCGATTCACTGCCATTTGGAGGAGTTGGCGAGAGTGGGTTTGGGAGGTATCATGGGAAATTCTCATTCGACTTGTTTTCTCATGAGAAAGTGGTTGTAAGAAGGAGCTTCATTGTGGATTTCTGGTTCAGATATCCTCCTTGGAATCAACATAAGATGCACCTCTTTAGATCCGCCTACCGATATGATTATCTCGGAATTCTTCTCATCATTCTTGGCTTGAAAAAGTCGTGAAGAGAGACACTCTAAAGATTGATAAATAAATTAGCTTTGTATTCACTAAGCTTGAAAGGGTTTGTCTGTGATTCATGCTTAAAATGGGATTGTCTTTGTCTTCGTGGAGTTTTTCTTTACCATTGGATCAAAGTATGAGTGTGTATGATCCAACGGTTAAAAAACCCAGCATCATTGGATCAAATGAGTAGTGTGTATGATACAATGGTTAAAAAACCCGGTGAGGGACACTTAGGATCAACTTTATATGTAATATGAAGTGATTACTTGTCTGTGTTTGGAGTTTGAATAAAATAAAGTCATACTATCTCCTATTTTTAATATATGTCATTTTGAGAAGTTGCACATTAATTAAGAATATTTTTTTGTCAATAATAACCTTATTTAATGAAGATAGAATGAATGTTTTGAAAAAAGATGAAGAGTGAATATGAAAATACTTAATGTAATAACCTTATTTTAATTTATTTATTCATGAATATAATAATAAGGATGAGTAAATCGTTTTAAAATTGTCCATCCCGTGCATCATACGGACTCTGTACTAGTTAATTAATATTAAAAATAAAAAAGTCCAGCCCAAGTGGAGAGTTCAAACAGCCCAAAACAAAAGACCAGTTTGCATATGAGGCACATGAATGGCCACGTGGCAACTCAATATCCATCTACCTCCCGTTTATTAAGATGTAGAGGGAAGTATAGATAAATCATATATTAGGCAAATGAAGGAATATGAAATAAATAAATAAATAAATAAATAAATAAAGATATTCTGAGGAAAAAATCCAATTAGGTGAGTACCAAAATAAGGCCACCTTACAATGGAAAACAATAAGGCTTTGAATATTTATCTATTATTATATAAAGAGATAATCCAAAAAACCATGAAATAGTAACTAAAATTAATTAGAATTCTCGCCTAAAATTTTACCAAAGATAGTAAGATTTTTAAGAATTTTGGAAATATCCCGCCTAAATGTGTTTTTGAATTTTTTTGAAAAATAAAAATAAATTAAAAATTTAAAGAAAAAAATGACATACATATATATATATATATATATATATATTGATACATCCATTTTATCTTAACTTCCATATAATCTATAACACCATGAAATATTAAAAAAAAAGACTCCATAACGTGTTTTGGATCTTTGTTTCTATTTT